CAACAACATGACACGTGCGCAACAACCACATACCAATAATGACAGATTTTGACATTCCCGCCATAAGCATGTCGGCGCTCTCAGAACAAAGGCGCTTAACAATGTCAAATAAACTTTGGTGTTGATTGACATGACGCCTCATATTAGATAAGAAGGAGACGGTGTTGATTCGAGATAGAGATGGATTTATTATTATCGAGAGAGAGAGAGAGAGAGAGATTAAAGGTATTGCAATCCTAAAATGTTGGATTATTTTGTAATACACAAATGTTTTTGTCATCGTAAATAATTGCTCCTCACCATTGACCAGTCGCAAAACGACATTCAAATAATGACAGGTTTATTATGACATTCCCGCCACATGTCGGCGCTCTCAGAACAGAGGCGACTTAACAATAAATATCGCAGTCTGTTCGAACTTGGGTGTTGATTACAACATTTCTAAGATACAGTCATCAATCCAACTTTCAAATCCCCACCAATCTTTCGTGGTCGGGGGAAGGAGGTGGGGAGGGGGGGGGGGGGGGGGGGGGGGGGTAAGAGCATCATCCATTGATATTTGTTTGGTTCCTATCTCGTGAACTTAAATTGACAGTCGTAATGGATAACACTAGGTCTGAACCGTGAAACTACGAGACGTCCGGTAATATGAATACATGTATCTAAAAATGGCACATAATATTAATAGCATAACAAAATATCGGCCTTTAGACTGATCCCGCACCGTAATGTGCCCCTATAAAGAAATACGGGGTTCTCGAGCGATTTCGGTTAGATCGCAAGTAATGGAAAATTTGGCGGTGCTTTCTACTTTCATTGTGCCTCATTCAGTCAATTTCGTGATTCTTTTTGTAAATATAAAAATGAAAGTTCAGACTTTTTTTAATTTCTAAAGATATAAGTAATGTTCATCAATACGAAAAATAAGGTCCGTTATTTTTTGAGGGAAATTGCCGTCTTATTTTGCTGAAGCTTCACGTCTTTCCTTTTCAATACACTCACGATACAAATTGCGTAAGATCGGTCGATACCTCCATTCATTCCCCCATTGTCTATGATTGTCGTGTGCTAAAGCTCGGCCGATTATCAACCGAGCCATAAATAATAGGCCTAAGCCTTCGTTTTACACGGGTTTTCGACACATTTTGTAACTATATTCTGACCAACATTATGCCATGATCTACACTAAATGCCCTTTCTTTTAAATGTGCAAATCAAATAAAGGACTATTTGGGGAACTTATGCATTTTGAAATGAACATTGTTTTATTCTCGAAAACAAAAATAATATTTACTTTGAATACTTTCGACTTTGTTTCTCATAATTAGAAATATTCATTTGTCGTGTGCCTTACCATATTACAATCTTACCACTATTGCCTAGATATATTTTATGGAATAAAATGACACACAAACCCCATTTATCAGGATAACCATTGAACAGCTAGACTTGTTTTGGTTATCCCTCGTGAGAATTCAATTTATTTGTCTTCGTCTCCATCTGTGTTCTCGTTCAACCTATCCTGTCAATAAAACTTTGTTAATCTTCGTTTCATGATCAGTTCTGTAGATGGCATGTATACATGAAATGATGATGATGATGATGATGGCGATGATGATGCTTACAATATTGTAATAGAATAGTAATGATAATAGACATTAATTTCTTCATCTTGCACTCGCTTTTCTTTATTGCCAGAAAACTTTTTTTTTTTTTATGTTGCCTTGCTTTTTTTCCCCCTTTAACAATGGTAGCATATTTGCCCAGGAAAATTCTCATATTCGTGGCTATACCTATAACTCAAACCTGCTCTAAAATGGTTACATGCCCTCGTAAAGGTACATAAAGAGTGGTTGTTTGTATTGTCATGTAGCTTGACCTACGTTTGGGCCTACATCCTCTTCTTTCAACACGGTAATCTTCCAGAGTAGTTACACCTTTACATTCGTTTGTTCCTCTTATTGTGGGATCCGGTCCAGGCAGCTGAGATAAGCGTTTCATAATAGAGGAGGTCCATACATGAATGATTCGCTAAACTGATCAAGTTGATAACATGAAAACTGTATTGTCAGAGTTCCGACACTGGTAATTACAGGGGAGAAGAATTACCAAGTCAGGGGTCGGTTATTTAATGGCTGTTTTCACAACCCGCAAAGGCCTTTGTTTTGTTATCTGATCTTGTTTATCGGATCGTTTTTCAAACTTTTATGAATGTTTTCCCCTGATTTGTTTTGCTTTCCTTTAAAGCAAATTTCCACCACAGGGTTGGATTGCCCATTTATTTTAATTAAGTACAATTTATAAATGCCAAGTCTCAGATGTTTCATATTCCATTCAATCTTTCGGGGAGGGGGGGGGGGGGGGTGGAGCATCGTCCATCGATATTTTTTGGTTTTCTAGGAACCAGTCGTAATGGAAGTCGATGTTAATACAGAATAATTATGATGTTCCCACTGAGTAAAATACGTCCTTTGCCTCCACTGTTAAATCTTTTCCCTTACATTTATTGAACGGGTAGTGTAATTTACTTGACACGCAGTTGATTTGAACGAAAGCAAAATGGCAACAACAACAAAAGAGAGAGAAAGAGATTGATGATAGTTTGACCGAGTTTAAAGAATTTGAAAATACAAACAATTTATTTTATATAAATGTAATCTTTTTCGAGCGGGAAAATACTTGTATTAGAACTCGTTCGTAGCGTCAAAATTCATTTTACCGGGGAAGAAATAAAGGGGCCGCAACTTTTTTATGGGAAAATGGAAACGTAATACCAAGATATTTTTTTTCTTCAATTAGGAGACAACGTGTTTCCGTTGTTATCAACTTCAGAAAATCAGAAGTTGAGAGAACGAATGTTATACCTTGTTTAAAAAAGATAAATAAAAATAGCTCTTACTCCTTCTAAAAGTGCTCCGCGCTGTCTATATAAACTGATACTTATTCACATTCCAACACTATGTCGGCAGAAATTTGAAAAGACAAACATGTTATTTTATATAAATGTAATCTTTTTCGAGCGGGAAAATACTTGTATTAGAACTCGTTCGTAGCGTCAAAATTCATTTTACCGGGAAAGAAATAAAGCGGCCGCAACTTTTTTATGGGAAAATGGAAACGTAATACCAAGATAATTTTTTGCTTCAATTAGGAGACAACGTGTTTCCGCTGTTATCAACTTCAGAAAATCAGAAGTTGAGAGAACGAATGTTATACCTTGTTTAAAAAGATAAATAAAAATAGCTCTTACTCCTTCTAAAAGTGCTCCGCGCTGTCTATATAAACTGATACTTATATATATTCCAACACTATGTCGGCAGAAATTTGAAAAGACAAACAAGTTATTTTATATAAATGTAATCTTTTTCGAGCGGGAAAATACTTGTATTAGAACTCGTTCGTAGCGTCAAAATTCATTTTACCGGGGAAGAAATAAAGCGGCCGCAACTTTTTTATGGGAAAATGGAAACGTAATACCAAGATAATTTTTTCCTTCAATTAGGAGACATCGTGTTTCCGCTGTTATCAACTTCAGAAAATCAGAAGTTGAGAGAACGAATGTTATACCTTGTTTAAAAAGATAAATAAAAATAGCTCTTACTCCTTCTAAAAGTGCTCCGCGCTGTCTATATTCCAACACTATGTCGGCAGAAATTTGAACAGACAAACAAGTTATTTTATATAAATGTAATCTTTTTCGAGCGGGAAAATACTTGTATTAGAACTCGTTCGTAGCGTCAAAATTCATTTTACCGGGGAAGAAATAAAGCGGCCGCAACTTTTTTATGGGAAAATGGAAACGTAATACCAAGATAATTTTTTCCTTCAATTAGGAGACAACGTGTTTCCGTTGTTATCAATTTCAGAAAATCAGAAGTTGAGAGAACGAATGTTATACCTTGTTTCAAAAGATAACTAAAAATAGCTCTTACTCCTTCTAAAAGTGCTCCGCGCTGTCTATATAAATATGATACTTATTCATATTCCAACACTATGTCGGCAGAAATTTGAACAGACAAACAAGTTATTTTATATAAATGTAATCTTTTTCGAGCGGGAAAATACTTGTATTAGAACTCGTTCGTAGCGTCAAAATTCATTTTAACGGTTAAGAAATAAAGCGATCGTAACTTTTTTTTTATTGGAAAATGGAAACGTAATTCCAAGATATTTTTTCCCTTCAATTAGGAGACAACGTATTTCCGCTGTTATCAACTTCAGAAAATCAGAAGTTGAGAGAACGAATGTTATAGCCTGTTGTGCGCCGCGCTGTAGTCACTTTGGCAGGCATTTGAAATCACGCAATTCTGATTAATCGCCAGCGTCTCGGGCATGCTTTTTAATCGCCCAATTCTCAAAAAGTCGATGCGATTTGCGCCTTTTGTCTAGAGAACAAAGGCGCATTCCAGAATGCATTCCAGAATGTGCGCATTCTGGAATGCCCCTTTGTTCTCTAGACAATAGGCGCAGGTCGCATCGATTTTTTGAGAATGTGGCTAGAATGGGGTCATTCCAGATACATTCCAGAAAGATTAACAAGGACATTCCGAATGCATTCCGAATGCCAGTTGAATAAATCCGTGGCGCCTTACAGTCCGACACCTCAGTCACACTGCCAGCCCACCACCGAACCGACCGATGACCGTCAAAAACTTAGTCATTTGGGGTACTGTAATTACTTGTTCAGTCTGGGCCCCGTCTTACAAAGAGTTGATATCAATCACAACTTATTTGAATTGCAACTATGTACATAAGAGATAGGAGACTGCAAACTTGCGATTGATTAGAGGACTTGCGATTGATTTGAATTGATCGCAACTCTCAATTATAAGACAGGGCCCAGTTGTCCATCTGGTATTAGTGTCTTGGTGTGACTGAGGTATTCTGGATGAGAACCTTGGGAAAAGAAGCAGGTTAAAAACAAAAAAATAGCTCCACCATTATAACATGCACAATAATGATTTTACGTCTTTACAGTGCAAATATTACTGATTACTCACCTTAAATGAACTATGTACTAAGGTCTCGTCTAAATCGATGACTATACAACATTTATGTGCATCTTGCTGCCTCACCTGGGGAAGTAGATATTTATTTGGTTGCTGCAAAAGAAAAGGAAATCAACAATTCATTTTAAATCTTCAAATTGTGCTAATTATAGGTATTGGATGAATGGAGTTATTTTTTCTCATAAAAAAAAATGAATTGGAAGTAGAATGAAGCTGTGATGCAAATATTTTTAATAATAATAATATGTGTACCCTGTGCCTACTTTAATATTTCAAGATATAATGAGTTTTTTTTTTTTTTTAAAGAATGAAGTGACATTTAATGTTTACTTGGAAGAAAGTGAAACAGAACTGTCCTCCAAATTTGAATGGATTATTGTGCTCTTGAGAATAAACATCTTGATGTTTGAACATTTTAATCGACTATGAACATTAACACGATTTATTGATACAATGCCTGTCCTTCCACTCTGTTCATTATTGAGCATAACTATTGTCCCCAGACTCTTCTTCATATTGAAGGTTTCACTTTTGATAACTGAAGACCCCTTTCAACCTCACTTCAATAAAACATAACCTAGCTAGTTATATAGATACTTATCATAGATTTGTTTTTATCCTGAAATAGATATTTGAATTAGGGATAGATTTCCCTGGTGGACATTCTTTATTCAATTAACCCCAATAACTGAATTGATTGGAATAGAATCAATATCAATTAGGAGCTTGTTCTTGAAAAAAATCAATGGTCTGCTTTTGTCAACATGATATTATGTGCTGATTTCAAATGTACAGTTATGGGTTATGAGCATGTATGGATAAAACATGGGAGGCTATCCTATCTCTTCTACTTCGTCACATGTACATTTACATTTACATGTGTATGTTATTGTTTATTTGAATTAGGTGGGTTATAGAGGTCTAGTAGGGGGTAAAATTTGAAGTGAAATATTTCAGAATTTGCATTGATGCATACATTACATGAGTGCTTAACTGTATTTGAAAGCGTCGTAATGATAAGAGCACAATATCAAACGCTAACAGACTTCTTGAAATTGATTTTTTTTTTTGTACTTTGTATTTTTTTTTTTTGGGGGGGGGGCAGGACAGCTTTGCTTCTTGAAGAGATTTGAGTTCCATTATATTTCTACAGAAATAATTGTTAATATTCATGAATATGTGCTTTCTCTTAACAACATGCTTCCCTACATGTCCATGTAGTCAATGCCAACATGTTTTGATGGGCACTTATATATTGGAGGCAATTATCATAAATACAGATACTGTGGAACCACTACTCTCTATTGAGAGAGAAGAGCTCTCCAGATTATGCTTACTGCAACCTCTGGTAATGACTGTTGGCCCCACCTAGAGTGGGCGACCAGGTTCATTGCTTAGGCAATTAATATGTTTAAAGGACATCGGTAAAGCCTTGTTCATACATGGCACAGTAAACCACCATTAAAACCCCGCCACGGCAACATAAGAGACATTTTAAGTAGAAATTAATTGCATGTAATGGTAAAAAAAAGTAGCTGGGCCCCTAAATAAAGCCTACATGTACATGTACTTGAGTATTAAAATAAACAAAATTGTACAGCACACTTCACCTACTGGTATTTATTCATTTTTTAGAATTTGTTGTGGCTGGTTTTTTCTTTATTTATTTTAGGCAATTAGGAAGATGATCGGAAACCCACTAAAAAAATTATGTAGGTGCACATAAGCAAGTTTAAACTCAAATAAAAAACAACAGCAACGTTTTAGGTGGTTGCATCACCACATGTGAACAAGGCTGAAATGTATGAATCTGAAACTGAGTGGTAGACAATGTGCATGTATGTATGTATGTACAGTATGTACTGTACATGTATGTATGTATGGTAGATTTGCCCCATTCCCCCAACACTTAGCATGGCACATTTAAAACAAGAGGCAGCTCCAAACAGATGCAATTACAAGTAGTGTTGACGCACATCAAACCATTTTCTATTGAATCACTATCGCATGCTGTAACACCATACGTTGAGGGCGACATATGATATTGCAAACTTATTGTGCATCCCAGATAGGCTTGGGCTAATATATCAGGGGAGTGTTTCACAAAGACTAAGATCGACTTTAAGTTGGACTTAACTATGGCAGGCTGTTCATGCCATTGTTTGCTCTCACCATTATGAACTTTAGATCATATTTTTTCCTTCAATAATGAATTATCAAAAAATATAAACTCTGAAGATTTGTGACCACGATTTGAACGTCCCTTGAGAGACCAATACCAGTAAATGGTGAGAGCAAACAGTGGCATGAACGGCCTGCTATAGTTACATGTAAGTCCAACCTAAAGTCGATCTTAGTCTTTGTGAAACACTCCCCAGCTGAATAAACTTAGCATTGAAATACATGTAAAGAAGCTTTTAATAACTGTATGTGGTTCATTTGCATGTGAAAGAATAAGCCAATGTCACATAATTGTTATTTCCTATTTTCTATAAATTAAAAAAGAATCTTCCCCTTTTTTCATCTTTTTGGGAGAGGGGTGATAAACAATTTACTAATGCACACTTACCTGTACCTGAACTTACCTTTCCAATGACAAGTTGACAAATTATTTCACTTATTTGTATTTTCTTAAGGTGAATTCGCATTAATTTCTTTTAGTGCAAGAGACAGTTATCAAACTGTACCTCATATATGTAAAAATAAAAGATAAGCCGGTCTTTGATCTTGAAATTTGAAATAGGTTCATGATTTGTGACTTGCATTTAAGATGTCATAAAACAATGCTTGTTTGCATCATCTACATCAATGATGCACTAAAGATTTGAAAATTTAGGATTTGTTATAATCATTAAAATTTGTGGGACTGGAAGGGCTTAACTTAAATGGTATTACCAAGATAGTAATTTGGACACCAAACTTGCCACTGACAAATGCATGTAACTTTTACGGTAAAATACCATGGTATATGTACATGTAGCATAACTATAATAGCATCAAAGAAAAGAGTTTTGACTTGCTGACAAGTGTAAGGATGACATACCGTGCTAGGGTCGTTAACGGGAGCTGGACGGTGCTCGAGCGACTATAAACAAAAGGAGATGCACACACAAAACAAAAAAAGAACGGTGGGGATAAAAACTGGTGTAAAACAATATATTTATGCTCCGATACAACAAGGCAAGGTGCTACATAATCATCCAACCTAAATGTATGATCTGGCCAAAACTGTACCAGTAACTGGGGCAAGTTTACCTTCACAAAAGACTTTGTTTTAAATCATTTTGAAATTCAATTGCCTGAATATTAAAGGCAACAAATAATAAAAACCTACATGTACATAGAAGAATTAATCTTTGGTAATTTCAGTTGTGAAAGTTCACATTATAGAACCAGTGAAAAGTTGATTTACGCAAGTACTCATATCCACAAACATGTAGATGTAGGGTCTCGTAAATCCAAAATGAGCTAAAATTCAGGGGAATATTATATAGCACCTTGCTGTAAAAGCAACAGCAATAATGTACACTTTGAACTGCTAAAATGAACATTGCAAATAAATGAGAATAACTTTTTCACTGTATTAATACAAGACTCAAATATTAAAAATGAAAATAAAAATGATCACAAAATTACATCACACATATAATAGCAACATACATACATACTGTACATATTGACTTATTTATAACAAAAATCATGCAAGTTCATGTATGTGTCTGATATACATGTACATGTACATGTATACCGGCACCCATTTAATATCAATTTGAAAATTAAAAAATCTTACTGATGTCATCTCTACGCTTTAGCAAAATAAGTAGGGCTGTAAGGAATATTGATGGTAAAAAGCAATGGTCCAAGCAACAATTATTTGTGTGTGTGTATGGGGGGGGGGGGGGGGGGGAGGGCTTAGTGGCTAACTATTGCCCCCTTCATTTGACACTTGCTATAATTTATTTCAATATTATGTTTAGCTTTATACATTGATTCTTTGCATGTATGCCCATTGCATGACATGCATGTGTATGTATAATTTCTAAAATTGAAAATGAGAGTGTTTATTCTTTGAAGCAAAGCACTGAACAATCTAACTTCATGCCACAGATTAACATTTCCATGTACATGTACTGCCATCAACAAAAAATCAGATTCTATTCTTTTCAATCATGTGTCAGGTCCAAGTTTAAAAGATGATTGTGAAATGGCAGGCTCGTTATCGCTTGACAAGAGCCAAGGTTAATTAACCATGTCAGAGGACATGATGATAACTCATTACAGATAGATTTGGGTATTGCATAATGACCTCCCCAGAAACATCCAGTTAGACTGACTACCAAGGTGTAGGTCTCTCCTCGTTATATTGAGAGCAATATTTAGTGACGACATTATAAATCGCCTAATTTTTTTTAATAGAAATGATGCCATTTAGACAATGATTCAATTCAAAATCATCATTTCAAGTAGCTTAAATGCATATAAATTGTAAATTATGGAAGAGAAATACAAGTCTTGTCAAGACAGGGAAGAGAGATAAGAGAATGCACAAGGAAAGAGAGAGAGAGAGAGCGATGGAGAAAGAGAGATGTTGAGATAACTGATCCACATGTTTTAAAATGCACCTATATGTACATGTATTTCCTTTAAAAGAAGCAACATGTACATGTAAGTACATTGGACATTTATAATGGATTTTTGCTTGTACATGTACGATAAAACGACTATAGAAAAACTGTAACAGAGCTCTATTACTACCGAAATACCAGTGATACAATCAGCATTGACAAGAAATTGAACATGAAAATTCCATAACAAACAAACAAAATATGTTGAACATAGCCAATGTCGATTGTTGAATTGAATATGCTGAATTCTGGTTTTTGTACAAAGATTTTTTAATTTTTTATTTGGAGTATTTTAAATGTTTTAAATGCCAGTCTGAAAGGTGTGATGAATTTTCATCTGTCTTTTATGGAAGAAGGAATTCAAGATAGGTATAGATATGTAGAAGAGATTCGAGAGGGAAAGTAACAGAAAATAGTAATTTTAATTTTATTTCCTACAGTTCAAATATCCTACGAAACTACAGTAACAACGATATGAAGAGCACTAAAATGTAACTGAATACAATGATTATAAGCACATATTGAAATCTGAATCATTATGCATATCCAGAAGTCTTGTAGGCAGAATAACCGTATTATGCACATGTAATTAACACTCAAATTAGGACATGTTTGCATGCAGAACTCAGAGCAAAAACAGAGTGGAGAGCTTACTTCCTAAGAATAATAACTTTTGCTATTTTGGCAACTCAATTAATCATGCAAGACAAGTAATATCAGGGAATATAAGGAAGCAGATTTTTCTGACTTAAACACAAATAGAAGCTTTGTGTTGCCTTACAGTGATGCAGTGCTCTACAGCGAAATGCAATACATGTACACATGTAGATACAATAGCAAAAAAAATATCAGTTTCCCATCCCACAAAAACAGATTACACCTATCCTTTCTTTCAGTTTTGTTGTTGCACATACAGTTTGTACAAGTACATCTGTAGACAAATGCATGCATACAACATGCAATGTGTACAGTGTATAAGGGTAGTGATGGGAGGGAAGAATCATCTTCCCAGTTCATGTGAGATATATCTACCAGTACATGTACATTGTATCTTGTATGTGATAATTGTGGAATTAATTCTATTTCAAAGAGTTGTTGATATGCTGAATATCACAAATCTCATTTGTACAAATTTCATTCTCTGTTGTTGTTTTTAAGTGATTCTAAGAAGTGATATTGAAAGAAACTTGTCATCATTTGGTTTGTATGTACATGTAATCTAAGGCATATTCTTCTCATCAGCTACATGTATACTAGATTTATGAATTGAACACCAAAGCCCCCTCCCCCCCCCCTTTTTTTTTGGGAGGGGGGGGGGTGGAGGAGGTCTGCAATGGACCATGAAATTCCTGTCATTAACAAGCCAAAGACATACACAGTAGGACAAGGAATGTGACCTGTCATAAAATATGAAATGCTAGAGTGGATAACTGTGATAAAGCATGCTCAGATTTTTAAAATGCATTATTATGAACCAGCAAATCCGTACATTGATATACAGGAAGGATTTGTTGGTTCCTTTGTTTATGTTGCGGCAACAATTATTTCTTTAGCTGCATGGACTCAACATACACCTCTGAATGCAAGTGCTTTGAATACAAATTGAGCTAGATGATCTTGTTAGAGGTGAATCCTTCTTTACTTTTGGAAGGATTTTTGTTTTTTTCCAGAATTTGTAGAGACGGGCCACTTTCCAGTCTTTATTCTTTTCTTCCTACATATTTCTTTTTTTGTATAGGGGGATTAGCGTGGAAGTATGTATGGAATCTGTAGAGGTTTAATGGGTCCAGCTTAAGTGGAGAGGTACTCCGGTTCCATCCCTGTTTTCTTACCCTTTGATCAGTTTGATCTGATGTCTGTGGTACGCTTTGATGCGTGCCATGTCTCCCTGACCCGAAACAGCACAGGAAGGTATTGAGTAGACTTCTACTTCTTGGCTTCTTCGATGAGCTTGGCCCTGCAAATAAACAAAATGGAAACACAGAATGGATTAGATGCATTTGTATCACACAGCTAATACTCTAATATTATATCATTACCCCAGCTTACAGTACGGTATATAGGATTACTTGTAATGTTTATTGACTATGAACTTTCAAACACTACCTAATGTATTCTATAAAGTCCAAATGCTTTTTTTATACGCTGTAAGTATAATGCAAATTCAAATGTGTCAAGAAAGGTTGTTGTACAGTGTGTCAGTTTAGGCTATATATCTAACCATCTGTAGTTATTGATCAACATTATGAAGAAATATAATGCAGGTCATTCCCTAACATTCCTGCCATGCTGTGTGAGCATGCCCCAGTTATGATTCCAGCAATGATGTCAAGAGGGGGGAGTGCCATTCTAAATAGAGCTTCATCCTCATCAACAAGCATCGGGGATTCACAAGATTGACGGGGGATGTGACGCAAATTTACGCTAACGACCGGTCAGCCCCCATCGGAGAATGCATGGGGAATAACATCAGTGATACTGGGAGCCTACAGGAGATAGTGTTGCACATTGAAACCAACCAACCATCCAACCGACCATCCTAGGGGGGTCACGATAACCAATCTTCTGCGCGCCTTCCCTGGGCTTTGCAATCAGTAGGAGATGGATGATTTAATTAAACATTTTTAAAATGAGATTGAGGGATGCTGGGAAACGGGGCTAAAAGGCAACAGATGCGAACTGGGTCTTTTCTGTGATTTTATATCCAAATTCAATGATTGAATGTTTGTTGAAAACAGCATCATACAGATATGAACAAACAATGTCTTACATGTACATGTATTTGTTTACATATTTGTGAGCTTGATAAACGGTCTAAAAAGCACCAAAGTGTGTAGTATACAACTTTAAGTTACACCCATACAATGGATTATCTTCAATCTAACAACGCCAAGTAAAATGCAATTCAAACTGACTTAAAAAAGTTACCAAAATGTTTATTGGTTATTACAGAAACTTGTAAAATCTGAAGCACACGTACAAGTACATATTGTATTCCAAAACTTCACATGTACATGTACATGTACCTTAATAATCTAATACATGTATGTAGTTAATGTACATACATACAGGTGTGGTGTATACCGTATTTGCCGGCGATAAGGCCGCAGCGCCGTATAGGCCGCACCCCCGATTTTAACTTTTTGTCGAAGTCGGGATTTGATCTCTTGCGTATAAATGTTGATTTGACTAAAATCACCGCCTTAGACCGCTCGGCCATCCCGCACTGATGCTAGCTTATGTAGTTTTTTTTTATGTATACATTGCGCCTCTCTCTTGTGTATTGAAATGGATTCAAAATAGCGACTTTGTGTGCTGGATGCTTCACGGCAACTCCGTTAAACGGGCCCTTCTTTTACTTTTGCAATGCATTGGCACGAACTTAGATCAAGATTTATCGGCAGATGTTGTTTTTGGAAGTTTATTTTCATCTTCATGTCAACAATGCAAGATAATATTGTCGGTAAGATGTGTGGAAATGTATAGTTATTGTACCGTTCGTAGATCTAGTCCCGTATGTGCAAATTCGTGCTGGGTTTGACTTACTTTTCTAATTTTTTTTTACTCTTTCGTCGCATAGGCCGCACCCCGACTTTTTGATATTTTCTCTTCCAAAAATACTGCGGCCTTTACGCCGGCAAATACGGTACTTAAATTAAATTGAAAGTTCAATATCAATATGAGCGATCTACAGGGTGTATCATCTTTTTTTCAGATACAATTTTATCATGTAAATTATAGCCTGTTATAAAATATCAATGCTATTGGGGAAAGCCACAAACTAACATGTATATATTTTAGGATGTTTGAATGGTACAATGTATAGTTATCAATGGTACATATCCCTTTAAATAGACAACCACTAGCTGAGATGTCTGTGTGTGTGCCATTTGGAGAGGGTCACTCCTACCATTTACGAGATTAAAAAGCAGATTGCAAGTCGGGCTGAGGTACGGCAAATGCAATTAGAAGCAGAACTTTATGTATGCAACAGCAACTTCTTCTTCTTCAAGATAATATTGACTTCTCATTTAAAAACTGCATGTACATTGCCCATGTATGCTGTACACTATACATGTAGATCTAAACTGTAAATTATTGTAAATGCAAAAAATGTGTGTGCCTATTCTACATGACATGTATGTGTGTTGGTTCATACAGTGGTTGTATCTACAATATGTTGTGGTTTACCAGATACATGTACATCAACAAACTTTCTTATATTAAGCTAGACTTACCACACTTGACTGTTGAAAATATTGAGTATTACTGCATAACTTATGAATGTTGAATGCGACTTACACGTACATGTACATGTACATATACCGATAAAGCCTTTAAAAATTGTCGGCTGCTAAATACACGAACAACTTCACATCTTGGTAAACAATACAGATTACAGAAATCATAAGACAGCCCTCTACAATTTACATATTACTACATATATGTACATGTAGGCCTGTATTTATCAGCTACTGTATATTGTATATTATGTAAACTAGAATAATTAATAAACCCTATTCTTATACTCGTTCATGTACACTGTATATATGGTTGCATCATAAGATGCAACTGATGCATACATGTACATGTACATGTACATACGCAGATATGTACAAGTACACACAATGTTTATCCCTAACTCATCTAAATTGTGCATCAGTCAGACTAACACACAAACAAATCTAAAAGTGCACCATCATTTAATACATGTTTAACAAATGGGGCATTAAATATGTATCCCCAAGTCCCTGCAATCTGTTAAATTTACGAGACAATATGGGCATGTCATGAGACAATTCAATTTAACATGACACAAAGGTCAACCGCGGCAAGTGCCAACGAGCAAGAGCCGATCATTTATATCATGAATTATGCACAGATATAAACTGGGCAATAATTCTCCGCTCCCTGATGCATGCACTGGTACTAAGAAGTGCACTTGGGTTTATGCATGCCATGTATGTTACGCTGTGTGTGATGGATGCATGCATGCAGGCATGGATGCCAGTCTCATCTAGAGGGTCAATGAGCTACAGAGGATGCCTCCTCAAATCTCATATCTCCCCTAAACCATTAGGACTGTATTGCCGAGAAAACAGGATATACAAGTACATGTAGTACAAGTACATGGATGTCTCGATAGTCGATTCTATCAACATTACAGATTTCACAAAAGCTAAACTGTATGTTTTGTAGCAAAACATTACACCAAAATGCACAATTATATGTATCTGTTTCTACATGTACACGCAATGTAACTTCAGGTACTTATGATTGCTCAGTAAATAGATTATTAAAATTTTAATTCCAGATAGTAAGAAGCATGAGAATTTCTTTACAAAAGTCAAATGGTATTCCAAATTTCAACTAGAGTTACATGGATATACCAAATATAATTGTTATACATGTGTACTGTACATGTTTTTGTTCTTCTTTAAATTGTGTCATTTCCATTGTAAAGTTAGGACACATTTTGGTCCATTTATCATGAACACATTTAGAATTGTAGACCTACAAAATGTACAGTACTGTACATGTTTCCATAACCAAATAGTTGTATACCGTAGATGTTGAATCAATTCCTGTTCTGGGATTATTACATGTTGTACATTTATGTTTGTCAGGTCACACTCATCTCAAAAACTGAAACTGAAACTTGTCAGTCAAGCTCAAGGTTGGATATTATCATCCTTACAGTCACCCTGACCCAGAAAATTAAAAAAAAATACCAGCAGCTCTACACTTCTTTGGTATTTATTTTTTATTTTTTTATTTTCAATGTTCTATCTTGTTGCAATTTGGTATACCGGTAATGCTTTTCTGTATTCCATCGTTGGCACTAGTGCCCCTTGAGTATTTGATTTATAATATGAACATCATTTTTTTCCTACATTATTATTTAACATTATTAGTTACTACCATACATGTACATGTACTACTACTACTACATGTACTACTAGTAGTGTATGCCTACATTGTACAACTGTACATGCACACAGTGTAAACGTTGTTATGCAATACAATAATATCTGTTTACAAAGGATGGTAGTTTGGAAGTGGAACGTTATATTCAAATGAGCTGAACTACTTTGTATACAGGCTGGGGTTGTAGTTGTAAACACATGTGTATTGATGTGTGTCCTTCTTAAATAAGGTGAGCTACAATGTAGAAGTGTGCATGAGCCTACTTGTACACGTACATGTACATGTACATTACCGTTATGTGAAATTTGGGTATACCGGAAAATGATGAGAATATCATAGAAGGATTTGAAAAGTAACAGGGAAGTATTGCATTAAATGGCAGGGCTTAAACAAAATATCCTGATATGAATGGTTGAATTAAAAAAAGGACGATACTAGTACCTAGTATACCTACATTATATGAGCCTTGTCACACATGCCATTTTGTTTTCATGTCAAACTGGATCGATGTACAATTAGGTCCTACACACATACACATGTTAATTGTACATGTGTACATGTACAGAACCTCCATGCAAACTTCAATGTCCAGTTCCTCGGCATTGTTCTTGACAATGTTACTTCCACCTGTTACAAACACACTTGTATGCTTTAATACTACTGTGATGTACATGTAAGTGTAATGTACATACATGTACATGTACTGTACATGTTTACTATACAGGGAGTGGAGATTGTGCACACAATGTGTGCGGGCAAGTATTGAATCCAATGACCGGGGTAATCCTTGTACATGTACATGCAGGTTCTGTAAAGCGCTTAGACTTAGAGACATCATTGATGTATAAAGCTCTATATAAAAGCTGAATTATTATCATTACATGCAAGCAAAGAAAAATTAATTTCTAGTTCATTCTTTAATAATAATAATAATAATAATAATCCATTTTTTTATATAGCGCTCAATACATCGATCCAACGATGTGCCTAAGTGCTTTACAGATATATTATTACCCCGTCATCGGATTC